ATGGCTCTCACCTACAAATAACGTACTGTGCCCACCCTATTCTGAAGCATGGGAACAAATCACTCATTAATACAAGTAACAACAATCACTTCAATTCCAATAGCTTATTTTTCTTGAAATGGAACAGTGCTCCCATATCTATTACTTTATTAAATATTCACCAACAACATGCTTGTTCTGAGTGTAGGTGGAGGTGCTATTATCTTGAGTGTTACAGGTAAGTACCTGCTCAAAAAAGAAAAGAACCCATTTGTATATTCATTTACCCTATTTTAATGTTTGAACATTGGCATTCATGAATATTTAGGGCAAGGTTTAAATATCCCTGAAAACAGCCAGATTTCACATTTCTTTAATGTTTTTCCCCCAACTGATGCCTTAGGTTATTACAAAAAGGGACTATAAATCAGCTGTCTGCTTGGGAAAAAGACAGACTTGAAAGGCATTCAATTTTCTTCAAGAGTTTCTTAGCTGCTTAAAATGTATGCAGTGGTTCCAGAATGGTGAAGGTGGGCTGGCTAGAAAAACCCCACCATGGTAAAAAGATCACAATATCTTGCTCACTGGGGATATGAATTCTCATATCTTGCTCACTCAAACATACATTTTGATATGAATTCGATACTGGTCCTAATAACAGGCAAAATTCAAAGAGAAAAATAGGGATGTGAAAATAATGCCACAGACGAATGAACTTAAAGGAAATGATGGAACAAAGGAAAGAACTGGATTCCTGACTGATCAAAAAAGAACATTATATTTTAGCAGAATTATGCAAAATAATAAACCGGCAAACTAGAAACTTGGTGTGAGGAAAGTTCAAGTTAATGTTCGAAAAAGATAGTACATCTCTTATACTATTTTTTAAGCTAATGATGACCTGCATGCTCATACTGCATTTTCATTTTTAGCCAAAGCAATGTAGCGTAGCTAGCAAAAAAAAAAAAAGGTGGTTAAGTTTTTCAGGAAGCCGGTGTAATAATCTATCCTCCTGGATCCTCACTGATTAGAATTTGGCGTTTAAGAGCTACAAAGACTGCTGGTAGTGGAGTGGAGGTGCTGAATGGGAAACTAGAATATGGGCATGTGCTCCAATGTGGTCCCACTCTGTTTTGATTTCAGACAAAGCACCTACCTCCTGAGATGGATTTGGCCATTTCCAAATTCAATAAAAACTGACAGATGTTTACCATGCAAATCTAGGCTTCTAGCTTTGTCAATATGAATCTCTCTGAGCCAAATATTGTGACTGAAAGGACTAATTAGTCACACAGGTTGCACTGAAAATCCTTATTCATTTTGAGGCCAAAAAACGGGTTTTATAATTACAAAATGCCAATGATGGATAGTTTCATCCAAATGCCTCCAAAATTCAAGATTTCATTGCCAGTATTGAACATGCAAGGGAATAGAAGCAAGTTTTAGTAAGACAGGTATATACCTTCTTGTACGGAACCTTAGTGATCATTAGTCTCAGTTCTTCAATTTACAGGTTAGGAAACTGAAACTAAAAATTTAAGTGTTTCTGTTTGACCACATTATTTTGCAAATTAATGGCAAAACTATGAGATTATCCAGACTCCCAGTAGATTGTAATTTTCTCTTATTCCAGCTGACTTCTATCCATCTTATTTTCTAAAGGTTGAAGTAGTTTATAAAGATACATAACGCAATGTCGGGAACCGCCCTGCTTTTTTTTAGAAGCTGTAACCCCCCTAAGGCTAAGGCTGAGTGAGCGACCTTCGGACCATAAACCACTAAGGAGACAAAGCTTATCTCCCTGGCGGGAGCGCAGCTTCTACTCCTTCTACTTCACCCTGCATGGACCCCTATGGCTTGATTGCTTAGCCAAAGATGAGTAAGATTCCTCAAGGGAAGAATAACCTAAGACGAGCATGATCATAGAAAGCCCCCAGGGAAGGACTTGGGGGCTATAGAATAGGGGGGGAACCCCCTCGGTTTTGACACAACCTGAGTCCTCATTCTGTCTGTACGAAGTCCCCTAATCTCTTGGCTGCCTTACTTCCCTGCCCGATTTAAGCTTGAAACAATGACAGAGGTCAGTGGAGCCCTGTGCTAGAAAGGGTGGGTTTTCTGCGTGATCAGGCCTAAGAAAGAATATATAAAATCCTGTGAAACCTGCTTTGCTAAGAATGCTCTCAATTAAATGATAAGGGTCCAAGCAGGAAATGAGTTTATTTCTCAAAGTTTTGTAGCCCTTTAGTTAAGAAACCCTGACTCAGAATAAGCCCTCTTAGTTCTTTGTATGTTATCTATTGTTTGAGCCTTACTGCCTAACAATAAGTAATGAGGTTTACCCGTATTCCTGTGCAAAATGAACCTAATAAAAGCCCACTGAGAAAAAGGCTCTTGGCCCTTTTCCTTTGAGAGATCAGCCACCTCCCCTCCTGAAGCAGATCAGGTCTCAGTAGATTTATTCTCATCCATGGTGGCCAGGGGGGCCCTGTGGGCAGAACTGCGCCCCCCACATTGAAATAAATTTAACATAAGTTAAAAAGGTGGCAAGAGGAAAGTACTGGGTTTTAATAAGTGACCACTGAACAAACATACACAGCTACTGCACCAGTTGATATGGTGCACATCAAGATAAACTAAAAAGGGAATAAAAGGAATACTAGAGTTCAAATTTTTTAAGTCCAGTTACAAAAATTCAAATAACTGCAGTTATTTTGAAATGGAGTAAACTCAGAAAATACTTTACTTGTGATCATCTTTTCTTATTTTTTAAACAACTGAAACGCCTTGACTCTCTGTACATAAATGCATGATTAAATTCTTGGGACAAAAAAAATGTAAATCACTAATTTTTTTTCTGCCTATTTCTCCTTTCTACTTAGAGAGGAAGCCATTGCAAGCCATGCTGGCTAAGAAATTAACTCAATGAACTCTGTCTCTCTTCTCATTAATCCACTGGTAAAAATCCTTCCAAATTTGAAGGTCTCTCTTTATTAACTATTGTTTTCACAACCGAAGTGCTAATGAGATATTTATCTCTGTCTCTCTCAAACAATCATTAGGGTTTTGTCAAATTACCTCTTATTGCATCTTGGGAATAAATAAATGGAAGCGACCATTTATCAGTAATACTGGTTGTTTTTCCAGACACAATCACACATTCATTGATCAGGGTCCTCACATTTGCATGGTGGCCCTAGAATTAGAGGTGCAAACTCAAAGTGATAGGAGGAGCCCGAGGCACCTACTTATCAACATTTATTTCCTATTGGGTAGAGACATTCTACCAATGTTTCCCTGGTAGAACTTTAAACTGGGAATATTTGAGAACTTCTATTCCACAGCAAGAAATAGGGATGTGCTTGGAAATGATAGTGACTTACTTAGTTAAGAGAAAATTGACTTTCTGATTTTTTTTACCCATGAGTTGAATATATGCAAGGTTCTATACAGAGCTCCCCCAATTAAGCCAATCTCTGAGCAGCATCTCCATGAGTGTTTCTATGAAGCAGTGATCAAGAGCAAATGTTATCTGGCTCAGATGCTGCAATGTTGCATCATTCATACACTAAGGAGCTCCACCTTGGCCGGTTATAGTTAAACTGAAACTCCACGCTTCTCTATCTGACTACTTCATTCCTTATTAATGAAGTTTGGTTCGTTAATACATATTTGGAATGTTGTAGTGTCAAACCTCTTCAGTTTAATTTGTAGTATGCTGGTTAATAATGGAAAATACATACATACTAGTCCAGATAGCAAGTCTCAGTCTGAATCTCACGAGCAGTGTGCATCACCTTAGATTGGTTTCTGTGTTCTCAATTGTACATATGAAAATACATACACACACATACATATATATACTATACATGCAAATATGAATGCTGCATGTGTGAATCAATCATTTGTATATGTGAATCATAATAACTTCTGTATCTCACAGTGATATTACAGACATTTGATATGTGTGAAAGCCCTTTAAAAATATGAAAGTTCCCACATTTATAATATATAAATGTTGCATTTATATATTATTCTTGTTTGTTGCATGACATTTATGTAAGTTATTGTACTTTTTTGTTGTATGAAGGACAGTTATGCTTTAAGGGAACAGCCAGATATCCACATAACTGAATAAATTTCATCTTCATGTCCTGAAATCCTCCTTTCCTCAGGTAAAGAGAATGTACATCTCTCACTCCTACTGGTCCCTCTCATAGATGCTGCTATTCTGGGGCTGCTCCCTGTTATATGAGGATAGGGTTCATTTTGGCATTGCTGATTTTGGGCATATGTGCCAATCTCACTAGTGACTTACAAGAAAGGTAGTGCCAACTCCATGACTGGCGTGGTGGTTCCCTATTCTCCAGGTCAGATCTCCGGGAAAACTACTGCATAGATGCAGGGATACTGGAGCTCTCTCTAAATTCTCCTCTCTAGTCACTCTCCTGGGACTTAGAAGATATGGCAACCCGAAGTTTACTTTTAATTTATGTCCTACTATATCCAGAGCATCTAAATTAATAGATAAACAGGAAAAATAGATCACTTAGCTTACACTGATAAGGAGGAAAGGCAGAGACTGAAAAGAAGGAGAAGGAGAAGGAGAAAGAGGAGCTGAAGGGACAGGAGAAGAAGCTAAGTGTGATCCTTACAGCACAATGCTCCTTAATGACATTGCCTATGGCCGTGTCTTCCACGTGGCTTAATAATATGCTAATTATTTCTTATAAGATACTGAGCAATATTATCTTAGTGCTTTAGAACAGTGGAGGCATTTATCTTTCTAAGTTATTTAAAATTTAGAAGTTTAAAAGTTTGGGAACTGCTTAGGCGTTTGTTTTACCTTATTTCATATACTCTGTGGAACAGTTTTATACCCCAGAACATCTGTAACATTTCAGCAAAGTTGATTTAAAACATCATCATCATTGATTGCGACAATTATTTCACTCTGTGTGTGTGTGTGTGTATCAAGTCATACACCTTAAACATTTTACTTTGAAAGTTTTAAAATGTCAGTCGTGCTCGCTTAAGCAGCACATATACTAAAATTGGAACGCTACAGAGAAGATTAGCATGGCCCCTGCGAAGGATGACACGCAAATTTGTAAAATTTCATAATTAAAACATTTACATTTGTCTATTATACATCAATAAAGATGCAAAAATGGCATCACAGTCTAACTTCGGGCTTATTTTCTTTATCTGCAATTTAAATAAAAGCATTTTATGAAAATAATTATGACTGTAAAAACAGAATTAATAAATTGAAGAGGGAAGCATTCACTTGGCTTCAGGAACAGAAGAAATGTTACACATGACACTTGAATTGGTAGAATGACTTCGAATAATCTTATCCTGATGGCCACCCTAAGCTCACTACGTCTCAGTGTATATTGGTCCCAACTGCTCACGTATAACAACTCATTAAATCTCAAAATAAGAGCCAGCAAGTGCAGACTGTTTTCCAGGGGTGTAATTCCTAAGAGTGGGAGATGGGAATTGTGGCAAAATCACACTTTTTCAAAGATTTTATCTACCTTCTAACATCTTTAGAAGTGACAATAAACTTTTATAACTGGTTTCCACATTATACCTCATGGCTGAAAATTTATGGCAGAGAAATAGCAAAAAGTGACATTATCTTTAAGTGAAAAAGAAGAATGATTATAACTTAGAAGGAAGGAAAGGCTAAAAATGTCTTGCAATAAGTTGGTCTGCCTGCTTTTATGAAGCCTTTCTGTCCTTTGAAAAGGCAATAAGACCTAGCCTGCTTTCTAGAAAAAAAACTGAAGACAATTGTTGACTGTCATTCTGGTTTTTCTTATATACCATTCCCCCAATTCTCCCCGGCTCCCCTGAACTATATCAAAAAAATCTTAAATCACAAGCATTTGCATTTGATTATAAGGAAACTATGCCTTTATATTGTTTTCCTTCCAGATATAACTATAGGATAAAAGTTTTATCTTCTTTCTGAAATAAACTGCATGAAGATAAGGACTAAGACCAGCCATCAAATTCAAACCCAGAAATCAGTGTAGGAAAAAATGCACTCATTAAAATTTCTATCTCTTGATTGATTCTTCCCCTCATTCACTTGTTCATTAATTCATTCATCCATTCATAACCCTTTATGGAATACCTTTGATTAAGTAGGAGTTAAGCAGAGGGGGAATGAATATGATAAGGAACCTGACTTCCCTGCCTTCAGTTGCATGGAGAACTTCAGATGTGTGACAAATGAAGGCTGTCTGTGAGTAGGAAATCTTTTTCTGACCACTAAGCATGGAAGAAGCATGAGTTCAAGAGCTACACAGATTGGGCTGAAATCTCACTTCCGTCACTTATTAGCTCTATGGCTTTGGACAAATGTCCTAAGTTCTCTAACTTTAAGTGTAAAAATAAATTTATTTACACCTTTGTTCCAGGGTTATTATGAGTATTATAGTCTGTGATGCTGTATGGAGACAAACACTGTCTAGCACTATGGCTGACACTCAGAAGATGTTTTTAAGAGTATAAGAGTATTTGTTAGCACAGCTGGCTCGGTACATATTCTCACTTTGTTCCCTTTCAATATGAAAAGTTTATTCCTAGCACTGGACACCTGAGATCTTAAGACAGACATTCTCTTCACAAAGAAAGTGCAATTTCCTGACTTAAACTCAGGATTCCATGTTTTAACACCTTATAAACAGAGCAAATTTTATGTTTGATATGAGAACACTTTTTTGAACACCTCAGAAAAATTGTAATATTCATCAAGGTATTGAAACGCTTCTCTTTTCCCAAGCTGCATGACGTAGCCCTGCATTTGTTAACTCCTGTTTGTTTCAGAGTTTGGAGGCACTTTGAGTTTTCTTTCCCAGCCCCTGTACAGTAAAGAGAGGGAAACCTAAGCTGGCATGGTCAGATGTGCAAGTACTAAATCATGGCACCACTCAGTATCAGACTATGGCCTCCAGACTAGACTCTGACCTCCTGGCTCTCTATCCAGTCAGAATCCTGCTCCTTCCATTGCTACTGGTTTCATGTTTGGGTATGGGAAAGATAAGAATAGCAGTGGGATTAATTCCCCACTTTCCCCATGTTTCTCAAACATGATCTTTTTTAATTCTGTTCTATGTTTTGTTGAAAACTTTAAAGCAAAGCCTTTAAGAAATGCCGGGAATTCAGAGTTGCCAGAGTAAAGAGCAATTAGTGCAAAGCTCACTGAGAATCAACCAAAGAACAAGCGTGCAGAGCTGGGGGAGAATACTGCTGTCTGCTACTGAGGACCAGCAGCTTCATGGAAAACCTGTCTTTGTGCACACATTTCATTTGACGACCTTGTTGCCTAGGCTCTTCCCACAGGTATTTTGGTGTTTTCTTTAGTTATGCAACGGTCTAAATGCTATTGTTTTAACCACTATTCTTCACACATTATTTTTGTCATTAAAATAGTTGTGTTACTGAAGGTCGCATATAAAGCACTTACTAAGGCATTAACCACGCCCTCTCTTAGATAGCCTTTCTCTCTCCAGCCTTGTATTTACCTTCAGTTCCACTTAATTCTGACATGTTTCCCCCAAGTTGCTATCACGCCCCTCCCACCTGGCTGTGCCCATTTCCTTTCCCTTGGGCCTCAGCAATCCCTCCCTCTCCTCTTCGTTCTCATTACTGACAGGCCTGCTGATTAAGGACAACAAAATATGCCATTTGTTATCATGAGAACTTTTGGAATCACACTGTCACCTTTTAAACAGAAAGCTCAGAAGACAAGATTTGCTGGATGGTGTGGAATCTTTGTTAGGACCGTCAGTACCTGTAACTCCATAGTGATCTCAGATGTCAAAGAGAATAGTATCACGGCCCTGCTCCATGAGTCCCCAAACTGCTCTTTCCTTTTTTAGCTGATAACTGCTCTTATGAATTTTTCTCTTTTGTCCATTACTACCAGGCTTTATAGACACCCTTTTCCTTTATTGAATTTGCTCCTTCAGATCTGCTTTGAGCTGGAAATCCAGATAATTAAGGTTCTTTAACTATCTTGAGAAACAAGAAATTGAGAATATATAAGAGAAAGAGGGTCAGAAAGACTCTCAAATAAGAAAGCACAGGTACTTTAGAGGACTCGTCAAAGCTCATGGCTGAAAATTCATAAGACCTGTTAGTTTCTTCAAAATGCAGACTTCCTTAAAAAGATAGTGGATTTATTTATAAGTGACCAGTAATATATTTACTATGATAATTCTCAAATCAGCTTTTTTTATTTTATTAAGTCCAAGAAAAGTTATTGTAACTAGACACCAGATACACATCCATTTCTATTTTCCAAGACCTAATCAAATAGAAGCCATGCCTCCTTTGGCGCCCCACTGAGTATGCTGGGACGGAGACAAACAATGTAATAAGGAAGGTAGCTAGCTGCCTTACTGTCTTTGACCTCCTTGCTACCTGAAAGTGTGAGAGTCATTGGCTTGTATTTATAAGTAGATCCTGAGGCTGCCATGCAGAGGTTCCGCTATATTTACCCAGGGTGGGTAATTTACTCTGTGTATTCTGAGTAGCAAAAGAGATGCTTTGGGTGGTAGCCCTTCTCTGGTTTTCTAGGACCAGCTTTTTACTTAATAAACTTAGGAATGCTAGTACTGCTTATGGATGCTGCTTCCCAGTGATCCTATGCATGGGCATTGAATTTAAATCTGTAGCTGTTAGACCTTGGGAGAGGGTTTTTTTAACCTCTCATTTGTAAAAATGGGAAAGAAGCAGTATCCATTTCTGCAGTGTCATTGTAAGAAATAAGAAAATCATGACCCATGAAGTGTTTAACACTGTTCTCGGTGCACAATAAACACTAAATAAATCTTCACTATTCTGGTCTGTATAATTACTATAAAAGACGTGCACATGTAACCTCCAACCTGCCGGAGCCAGCATGTCTGTCACTGAAGTGGGCAAAACCCCGATGTGCTAATAACCACCAAGGTAGATCATCCACATTTGCCCTTGCCTAGAATATTGTAAAGTAGGAGGCAAGTTTGTATGAAGAATGCAAATACAGTTTTCCCCTGAATGCTCTATTTTGCTTTTCAACTTTTAAACTCCAGTTCATTTCAAAACATACTCCCAGCCATTTTCGAGTTGTAAAGCCTTCTTTCTTGTTTCACAATAAGCTAAATGCAGGTACAAACTCGAGACAGACCTTGGAAATTTTAAGTATGTTGCCATGGCAATGGTTTGCAAGAATGTGTATGAGTTTCATCTTAGCTCTCAAGCATTCAACTGAGTAGGTATGTGGAGGATCAAATCACTAGGCACACAATGTTTGCCATTCACTGTGTTCTGAAAGGTTTGAAAATAACTGTCTGTTGCTCATAGCAACCAGAAACCACAAAATGTCCGTCCTTCCTTCCTTCCATTATCTGTCTATCTATTCATCCATCTATCTATCTATCTTGCCAATGTGGAGGTCTAGTCATTCATCATCTATGATTACCTGGCCAATATCACCAGCTTGGCTGTTCTAAGGTAAAGGGTAAACATAAATTCAATAGTAATCATTTTCACCATTGTTGCAAATAGAGAGTTGCACTCCCAGTAAGAAAAAGCTGTAACACTTTTCTACTAATTTCCACATTAATTTTCTCATTCAACATTGACGTATCCTTAAAGAAGCATGATGATTATTTAGGGATGCTCAATTAAAGCAAACTATCAGTGTAATGAATTGTGGAGGATCTTTTTAAAAGGGTTCCATCCTATAATGCAGGAAAGAAAATTAAAGTATGTAATTTTGGTCCTTAAATCAAACTCCTTTGCACCTAAAAAAGGCACAACCACCACCAAAAACAAAAAGACATACAGAAGAAGCAATTTTAACTCATTTCAATAACTCAATTGTTCCGAAATGGTTCAGTGGATGCGTCTAAATCACAAAACCTGCACAGTGGACACATGCTTCGCTGGCGATAAAAGCAATGGTTCCTAAAAGGAAGCATTTTCCCCCATAAACAGAATCCTCAGAACACTAAAATTAGAAAGTTTTAAAGCTATATACTTGTTTAAAAATAATTCTTAACAAATTCTCTTCATCTTACAAGGCTATTTCTATCTAAAATGGTAGTATGCAAATTAAGTCAATT